AAAAAAAAAAGCAACTCTTCGTTGAAAAAAATTACAAGACAAAATTTTTTTCAGTTACAAGGAAATGCCACACTCACTCATTAGGAAAGAAAGCAGAAAAAAAGAAGACAGACACTTGTCCCCAGAGAATTTTTACAAAAGAAAACATGAAACGAGGAACTTTCTGCAGAATTTAAATTAAAGAAAGTCAAAAAAGAAAACAGCAGTTTTCATCGCATCGAGTACAACAATACAAATTGCCACACTCCGTCATCATCCCACACCCACCCTCAAAGCTCTGTGTGTGTGTGTGTGTGTGTGTGTGTGTGTGTGTGTGTGTGTGTGTGTTTTAAGTAGTGCTCTCTGCAAACCATAACAATGAAAAAAAAAAAAGACAAAAGAAAAAGAATTTTAAAAAGAGAAAAAAAAGAAAAAGAAAAAACAAAACCCCTGAGCAAATCAAGGAGGGTTGGACGTCAGGGCACAGAATCACCATCAAATGTTCTGAGTGAAGTGAAAAGATCAGAAAATATCAGAATCACCCCCTCCCTCCCTCCTTCTAGCTTTTGGTAAACAATAGGTCCAGGTAATATTAGTAATATATTAAGCTCTAGGCCTTTTTCCATACAAAAAAAGTTTACAACAACAAGAAAACCGTCCCCATCAAAACGATCGATGAGTGATAATATCTTTCGGGTTTCCTTCCGTTACCCTGGTGTTGTGCAAATATTTCCACTTTAATGGTAAAAAAAAACCAACAACCTTTTACAGTCGGTTACAACAAAAAAGAACTACACTAAAGTTAATTTTTCCAAAGTTACAGTCCTTAGAAGAGATTCAAAATGCAGAAAGGTGAACACGCGGTTCGTCGGTGAACGACGATCAAATACACAGGACATTCAGCCTCAAACCGCTGTGTACCTCTGAACTAACAGCAAACTAACAACAACAATTATTCTTTGGGAGTACAAAAATAGCGGCTTTTCTCGGTGTGTGTGTCCCCATTCGCAAAGACTATAGTTTAAAAAAAAAAAGGAAGCATCTACTCGTTCTCGTAAAAAGGTCCAGTCGCTGGAGCTATCCATATATATACGTATACGCCACGTAAACAGTTGTAACAATTCTTCAATGACACTCGTAAAAACAACAGTCCACGTCACCCATCACAACAAGAGACCGATCCGATCT